AAATATTGATTTTAATATTTTGTTGCATAAATTTCAAATTATTTTCAGTTGTATGAATAACAATCATCTACAAAAAATGCATGATTTAAAATTAATATTTATGATTATTAAATATTATTAAATCAGTACATTTCTATAGTTATAATAGTCTATATCCAATACCCAATATTTTAAGTTAACAATTGTGTTTAGTTCAAGTACATTTTTTACATTTATTTCCATTTTTTTATTTACAGGGTGATGTGCCTTTAGATGTGCCGTGTATAAGAAATGATTATCCAGTTGTCCTACTAGACCAGAACAGAACAGAGTAACGGAATGATTGGTTTTGTAAAAAAACATTTTGAGCATTAAAACATCATCGTTCCTATGATATTGTTCTTTCTCCAGTCTATTATAGTTTCTACAAATATTACAATATTTATCCAGTCTTATAAATATGAAATACTTATCATGGTTTACTGGTTGCAATTAATATTGACATATGTATTATTTGTAACACCAGCATTTATATATATACTACAGTATCTAAATTCACTATACAATAATAAAATTATTTCTCCATATTTGTGTTTTATGTATAATTGATTGCATAATATTATTGAAATTAATTTAATTCGAAATTGTGTATCAATTTGTTTTTACTTATTCAATTATATTTGAAACTTACGAGTGTGATTATGTAGTTTTGTTAAAATTAAATATAGCGTAATAGCCATGAATAACGTTTTTGGCGTTATTGAAGTATTTTTTTTTTTTTAGATAACTTATGAACGACAAAATTACCAATAATAATTCACCTAGTTAGTTCATTAATAAACACATTGGTACACAAAAACAAAATTTATTTAAAGAACTCAATTATTCTTATAAAATTATCAATAATTTAAACAAAATATGTTTCATTTTTCATTCTTTAAAATAAAATTCTAATTTTAATCTAATTCTTTTGGTTGTAAAGAAAGTTGGTGGTCATCACTGATTTATATAATTATTTATGTTTATAATATTATTGATTCATATTATAATTTTCTATGTTGCCATTTACCTACAAAATTAAAATTATATTAATACTATTAGATGAATGTAATATTATAATTTTAGTCATTTACTTTATATTTAAATATTTAATATGTAGTCCATTTTTGTTTTTGTTTGTCTTAGGTATATAAGTAAAAAAAGTCATATTGTTTTGTGTTTGTTTGAAAATATTGATATTATGTAACATTATATTACATCAATAGCTTCTTCTTAATTTTAATTGATATACTTTGATACTTAATTACTTTAATTTATCATACAATTTTTATATTAAAAAGAAGTTATAAAAAGGTTGTAATTTAAGTGCTGTATTTGTTTGATTTTAACAGTTAATAATATTGTTTTCACTATATCAATGTTTTATATATATATATATAAAAAATTAAGTTGAGAACAAAAAGTCTCGTTTATTACATCAAATTTCATCATTTGTAATGTATATTATTGTTTATCTACATATTTATATATTTTATTGACAGTATTCTTATTGATTTTGCATAAGTGTATTCATAATAAAATAATAAAATTTGATGATTTGTATTTGATCAGAGTATTTGTATTTGGTAGTACAGTAGAATCTCTAGAATCCGATATATATCAAACAGGATACTGCCAAAAATATCAGATTAATAAATTTTTTATTTTATTATTACTATTTTGATTTAAATAGATTGGGCCAATTAAAAATATTTTAACACATTCGTGAATAATTTTTTCATTTTTGTATTGTAAATATTTTAGAAGTTATAGCTATAGTTTTATATGTTATTACTTATTACTCATTATTTAATGATATCATTATTTTAGAACAATTTCTAGAACATTTCTATGTTAATTATCTTTATATTTAATGTTTATTATAAATCGTATATGACTTTATTACAGTAGTATATGTGGATCTTTATTATGTCGATGCAGCCACCATCACACTAAGTATAGTTGTCGGCTATGATTATAATATATTTTTTGACTGAAAACCTGTCTCTGTTCAGAATCAATTTACGTATACAATGTTTTATGATTTATAATATAATTTTTATAGAAATTTGCTTACCTGATTTWATTTTTTTGTTGCAAGATCTAGATAAATCCAATAAACACCAATTGTATATGATTTTTGCTGCAAATAACATTCAAATTTTAAGATACATAATAACTATACAAAAGTAGTATAAATACAATTTTAACCTTGGTAACTGTCAAATATAATTTTGTTTGATTTAAAATAATTTTATTGCTAGTTACCAACCAATAGTTTCCATTCAAAACTGCTGTAAGCATAATCACAATAATTTAAATATGTAGGTACAATAAATTCATGTGTTGTCAACTTTTGTTTTCAATCCAACAAATTAGATTATTAGAAAAAAAATTCTTAATCAATCAATTGCCTACCTATTTATTTTTAAATGACTCATTAATATTTTCATTACTCTTCAATGTGGTTTTCAATATCTGTATAATTTTTAGTTTATCTTAATGATCATTCGCTAGTGTATTGTAACATTGCAAATTTAAGTATAACATATTGATAACTGAGCACTGACAAGTAAGTAGTAAGTCACTTACTAGGTATGTCTAATAGCCACAATAGGTAGTAATCGCAAAACTTGAATTGCCTCTGAAACTCCCCTGAGAGGCTGAGACTAGCAAAGAAATAGCTCAAATATAATTGTAGGTACAAGTACAACATGCACTATTATTATTTAATTATATTAAAATTTTAAAAATTTAAACCAAATGTTTTTTCATTTTTGTTTATTAAATTAAGAAGATAACTTTAATTTAATGCTTGGTAAAAAAAAAGGTTGTATTGTGGTGTCATACTTACTATTACATACCTATTAAAAATTATGAACGAAATTAAAATGTAATAAAGCTGATTGATCAACTGATGTAATAGGCACATAGATCCTTCGCATTAACTACATCTGCAAGCGATGTGACATGTGAGTCCTATTTTCTATATAATGTTTCAATGTGGTATCGAATTTAGTCCTTCTATCATAATATATTTAATTATTTAAATAGGTATATATTGTTTGGTAATTGTTATTCGGTTTTATATAGTATTGAAACATTTTTACGCATACAACACAATAATATATTTATAAACGCATGACATTATAATATAGAAATATTGATGTAGGTTTATTATCGGCATATCAAGTCAGTCGAGTTTGAATCGTGTAGAGATTATCAGACAACAGTTAACTCTACGTTTTAATAACGTTCCAGTAACATTAATATTTTATTTACTATAGAGATATATCGCATATAATAGCCTACCTCATASATAAATCATAATACCATAATTACATTTATTTCAACTCTTAATCCCTTGATTTTCAAAATACTACCATTAAGAACAGGGTTACTTATGTGATAGCGTACAGTTTAATACTATACCTATTACTATTTACTATTCAATCATTTAATAATTAAACTTGTATACGTTTTCAATAATTGTGTTAGTGTATGAACGCAACCATGCAGGTCATAACTCATAAGTTTCCAGGACCTGTYATAAAAAGTTCAGAAAACTTCATTTGAAATCGATTCAACCACTCGGTTCTTAAGACCGGTTTGTTTTATAAATAATTAAATATCGACAGCCACTAGCCACTTGGTTYAAATAAACAATGCAGGCGAGTTGCAGAACCTATATTTAATAAAACGACACTTGCACTTAGCAGTAATCTGTCCCCTAGTTAGTTTTGGAGCCTATGCATTCATTGTCTATTTATGATTATGTTTATACCCACGATCTTAAAATAATAACAATAAAACCTAAGGTTCTAAGACCTAATTAWTTGTCATTATTGTTTCGTTATTTCTATTGCGATTAAAACTTAGTTAARACATTAAAKTATTCAATTTGATATTAGTTATTATTCAGTATAGGTAGGTAATTAATTATATTATAAGAAGACTGAAATGTTGTTCAATTAGTGGTGTTAACAACTCACAATAACAAAATATGATGGACGACAAATAAAATAAATATGATGGTATTGTATAAAGCAGTACAGCACAAGCAGTCATGGCTAAATAACATTTTGCATTTAGTCAAACAAGCATGCGATAAATTATGCTTAACCTTTTTCTTCGATGGCTACAACTGCTTTGATTAAAATGATTAAATATAATACGTTTGTTTTATCAATGGTAAATTGGTAATACAAATGTTTTTTTGTCTGGTAAGAATAATTTGGTTAAGGCCAAAAATGCATATTAGGTATTTATAGTAAATTGTACAATTATATATGCAATCACCATACGGAAACGGATAATTATTGCGATAGTGTATTTTCTTAACAATGGTATAATGGTTATAGGTCAATWAATTGTAAGCTCCACACAATCACATATGTTTTTGWCAGTTAAAGTTTATTTTATACATTTCGTTCTAAAAAAATATTTTTTATCAAAAATCTTACTAAATTTGAAATAAACAGAATATCATAATATGACTATCTATTATTTAATCTTATGAATAATAATTTGACTGATCTGTTAATTGTTGTTATCATTAAATAAATAAATAAATAATGTTATTGTAGCCTGTAGGTGACATAATAATAATTTGTTCCGAGGTTCCAAATAGGTAATGGTTAATATTGTTTATTTATTGCATTATTGACTTTTCGCACGAAATATGAATGATCCTAAAGATTCTCAATTTAATGGAACTGTAAGTATAGAACTTAATATTTTATTGTTGATTTCTTAGAAAACTCTAAAAATAATTTGCAATTTGTTAATATTTCAATTTACTTTAATAGATTATAATAATATTATATTATCAACATAATTTCGAAATGTTGAAGTACCTACCTACGCCTACCTATTTGTATAATATCCATATGGCATATATCCTATTAGGTATTTAGGCATAAACGTTTTGTAGTTGTTGATATCTATTTTGTTTTACATTTTATAAATTGGCTGGTTTGAACTATGTATTTTCTAATAAATCATGAATGATAATATTGTGGTTACTTAGTTTCACCATGATAAAATCATATTAATTTTTTTATTGTATTAATTTAGAGTAATTGGAAACCACGTTCCCATRAAAAATGGGGTACTCTTGCTACATTCAAAGATGATAAACTCATTTTAATGAAGTTCAATAATCTGGTAATAGTTATAATTTTTAAAATGTGTATAAATTGTAACTGATTATTATTCATCTAATTGTTAAGAATAATATAAATTTTCTTTAATTAAGGAAATTGAAGGTATTAATTCTAATATTCAAAGAAATGTACACAGACCTTATAAATATTTTGTGGATTCAAGTAATATTAACTTTTCTTCAGACACTTATGATAATGTTATTAAATCATATAAAATTAAACATAAGTTAAAGTAATTATTAACAACTATTTATATTATTTTATATACTTATATCGAATAAAATATCTTATATATTTATAGGAGTGAGTATTGGGAATTAGCTGCTAAAGGGGAACAAGAGACACCATTGCAAAAATATTATAGATTGAAGTTTGAAACCGAGGATTTTTTGATACAAGAATCTAATTTTCAAGTAGTTATTTTTTTATTATGAATTTTATATTTTATAAAAAATTTTTTCTATAAATCTCTATAGTATGATGTGTATAAAACCATTTAAGTAATATTTTAGATTCCAAACTATTGGCATGTACTTCTTAGTAGACATGTTATAAGAAATTATGAAATTCTATACAATACTTTTTATACATTGATAAACGATAATAAAATTAACCATTGTCTGATCATTAACATTTTAAAAATCAAACATTTTTGAGAGAATCATAAAAAAGTATTTAAAAATAATAAAGAAATATGGAACATTTTATATAAAATATTATATATTTTAGTGAATCTACTTAGAGTACATTTTTGCATTTAAAACTTAATACATACTTTAGAATTTAGATAATACTACTCATACAACTATTGTGTTATGTAATTTTTATAAATGTTTTGATTCAATTTAGGTATATATATATTTATAGTTTGTGTTTTTATATTGTGTAACATAAAAAAATATACATTTTTAAAAGATCTGAAACAAACTGTATGCGATTTGTGTTTTACCAATTTTGCTATTATTAATTTAAATTAATTAAATTAATTTGTCATAACTATCATTTAATTTTAGTATATATTTTCTAACTGTTTTAAAATATATTATCAACAAAATGACATCTTGAAAATTTAAAAATACATATTTGTACAAAAAAATGTTAATATTTTTTTGAATTTTTGAAAAAAAAAAATTGAATTTCATACCATTCAATTGGAATTTCCATACTTATAAAGTTATAATTGTAAAAAGAACCACATTTAAATATATTTATTTCCCTCGGGCATGCTAAAGGTGATATTATGGACTTTTGGAACATATTGTACATCAAACAAATAAAATTACTTAACTACCTTTTAATGATAATTTATGATTAGATAGTTGTATGTAACTAAACTCTAGTTGATAGAATTTTGTTTTAAGGTAAATGAAACTAATGAAAATGAAAATCTATATGCTAATATTGGATTTCAAATACAAAATATATTGAGAAAATTATTTAAATACAGTGTTGATGGACAGTTACTTTTAGAAAGTCATGAAACTATTAACATTTTTAATTTACAGTAAGCCATTCTAAATTAATTTTTTTTAAAGATTATTATACATTTTTATTAGTTTCATTTACCTTAAAACAAAATTCTATCAACTAGAGTTTAGTTAAATACAGTGTTGATGGACAGTTACTTTTAGAAAGTCATGAAACTATTAACATTTTTAATTTACAGTAAGCCATTCTAAATTAATTTTTTTTAAAGATTATTATACATTTTTATTGGATCAATAAATTGTATAATGTATTGATAATTATCATTATGTAGTTATATACCAATTTCTCTTTAATTGCTTTTAATGTTTTATTTTTATTTTCAGACAGTACATAATTACCAAATTGTTAGAAAAATGTCATTGTTGCTTTGATAAAAAGCAGTTCATTGTTATTAATAATATTCCTAAAGTATTGAATATTAAAATAACACTTGAAAATTCAAAACCTAATGCATCAAAGAGTGTACAATTACTACAAATAGCACGATTAAAAGATCGTCTTCAAAAATTGGAAGTAATTATTGGATCTGAAAAATCAATTTTGGTAAGAAGTACTATACTTTTTTTAATATTAATAATTATTTTAAAGCTTAGGCTGAGTTATTATTTTTTGAATAATTTATAAAATATTTACTTAAAAATATATCTTATGCTTTTTAAATTAATTGTCAATAACTTTAAAGGTTTGTTTATATTTAACATAACATAGGTATGTACTATGTAGGTATCAAGAATAAAAATAGATCTATATTTTAACTTAACTGTTATATTTAAAATACAAAATTTCATATTTTGAAAACATTAGGTATAGATCATAACTTTTTTTTAATCAAAAAAAAAATTATATTAAATTGTTTTATTTAATAATAATATAATCAATGGCCTATGGCATAAAGTTCATACTTAACATTTTGGATTTTTTAGTTTTTTTCTTTTTGCAAATATTATTCAGTGTAAATCATATCATATWATACACCATGAAATTATGATTATAAAAACAATAAATTTTGAATGAGAATTATAAAACTAAGACAATTAAAATAGTTTCTAAAGATTTTTTTTCTGTAAAACATCTAACTGCCGACTAATTCTACCTACGTATCTTCGGATTCATGTACATAAGTAGAATTTCACCCCCTGCTTAAACTTTTAAAATGTTTTACAGACACGCTTAACTGGTAGCATTAACAGTGATGGATTGGTTGAAGCCGTTTGCATATTAAAGGGATTGTCCAAACTAATTTTACCTCAAGTTAATGTAATTGAATCCAGAGTTGTTTATTTATTACCCAAGTTAAAAAAAATTGCTTCAAATCGACTTGATCAAAATTTAGAAGTAGATAAAAAAACGAATACACTCTATGAAGCTATTTTAAAAGCAAGAAAAAAACCAAATTTGATACCACATGTTATACATAGAATGACTATATTAAATATGTTTCGTCTTAAAGGTAATGTATTAGTATTTTTTATTTAATCATGTATCTATATTTGTATTTTTAATGGTTAAGTTGACATATTTGTTAAATAAGCTTTAAATATTATTTTTAAAGAAACATTTTAATTTTATAAACTTCAAAATTAATTAACATTTTACGATTGAGATTTTAATTTTAATCTTAACAGTTTATATGGACATCTACACACACATATAATATATATATACACATCATCAACTAATTTCATTAATTGTGTTTCCAACATTCCAACCAATGAAAATATAAACAAAATTTAATATTTTTATAATTCTCTTGTCATTAAAATAATGGGTCATATAAAACTATCTAGTCTCAAGTTGTATATAATTATTAATTACAAAGTTTTGAGTTAATAACAMAGCCTCAGGGGAGCATGATGTTATAAATGCAATTTATTGACCACAATTATGTTTAAAAAATTTTTTTTTGTTCAATTCTATTCAGTTTACACTACTCTACTTTGCTGTTTAATGTATATTGTTAATTTAAAAATTGATCTAAATGATTTGTTTTAGTTGAGACATTTGCCGTAACAATGAACAATCTTAGTACTCAATATTCAGAAACTTCTAAAACTCTCAAGAATAATGAACTATTAATTAATAATATTGAAATTTATATGACTAAACATTTAGCAAGTACAGTTTCTAATTTGCAATCTTTAAATGCTCAAATAGAAGTGTTTGCTGATCGATTGAAAAATATTTAAGAGTAATAAAATCTTTTTAAATCATCTAGTTCCATTTGATTCTTCACAATTTCATTACTTTTATTTATTTCAATTGTTAGATAGTATCAATATATATATATATATATATATATATATGAATCATATAATTGTATACGTCATGTATGTTTGAAAAATTTAATGCTAGTTACAACTAAACATAACAGCTCTTATAATGATCTTTCATGTATTTTTTATCTTAATGAAAAATAAACTACGATAATTTTTTCCAAATAAAACAAGATAATTATTATTTGTGTAGTGTGTCATTGACATGTGAAAATATACCTATCCTCTGAATATAAATGCATAGATATTATATCATAGAAACAAATATGGCAGTATCTTATCACCAGAAACAAACAAAATAAAATACAAATGCTAGACTGCGATAATTGTAATACTAAGTAATAGAATGCCAGATGTGTCTTATGTGTAAAAATATTTCATTATTATTTAAGTTACTTATACATTTTTATCATTATACTATTATCTTGCATAGTTTACCATAATTCAATGAAATATTTGGTTATAATAAATTATAAATACAATTCTCTAATCATTATTCCAAATAAATTGTGTAAGATAGAGAATCTTGCTATTAAATATAACAATTAGTTTCAGATTTTAAGTGGGTGTTCTACAGTTGCATAATACTAATGTATTATTTATAACTACATATTTTCATTTTCAAACGTTTTGCAAAAAAACAAAATTATTTTTAAATATTTACACAACATAAATTTTCTGTACCTATTAGATAATAAACAATGATTATTTTTTTTATTGATTATTTAAATACATCTACACTAATATTTTATTGTTTATCATTTAATATTATATACTCTCTTGATATATTCTAATCAAAATAATATCAATATTTTTTGTAGGACATGAAAAATACAATGTGTGCGCTATTATATAGTATACTAATACAGCAGAGCCTCGATAGTCCGGACGAATTCAGACCGAGCATCGTCCGGATTATCGATTTTTCCGGATTACCGGGGGTTTTCAAAATTACCTACTCAAATTACTAAGATTTTATTTTGAATTTCACTATCTTTATATTTATTGCATTTTAAATTACAAGAATAATAATTAAATTAAATTAAAAACCTACTGTAGTCGGTAATTTTTTGTAAATAATACTTTTAATTTTAATTTCAAAAGCGAGTTCCCTTAATCAACGTACCAACAAAAGATCAGTGCTTTACATGTTCTCATCTTCCGCCCATTGTAATACAGTATTCAGTGCATTCACAGCTTTTGAAGGAGAAACTTTGAAAGAAGCATYGATTTATTATGTACCTACATACATGTATTAGTCTTTACTAGGAACARTAGRYAATAAAAATGACGAAATTGTATTTGTCGATAACAATATTTTATAGATTAATTGGGTTGCAAGAATTCTCGTAAAATTTATTTACGAACAAATGGAATTTTGCCGTCCGGATTACCGCGTTCACCGGATCATCAGGGGTCCGGACTATTAAGGCTCTACTGTATAGTATTAATCAGTGGCAGTCAAATGATTGTGTCATGGGGGGAGTATGTCTGATTTTTCAACATAAATGTTGCATATAAGTTATAAATAATCATTTAGACTTAAAAACAAGAAGTTCATCAAAAACAATATATTATACAATTTTAATTTATATTAATTTTTACAATTTATATTTTAACACATTTAACTATATTAAAATATTTTTAATATAAGTAAACTAAAAACTATCAAAATTTATAAATTATTTCAGGATAGCACAATGAAGTTTTAAAATGTTTAATTATATCAGTACGCTTAGGAAAGATTTTACCACAAATATCACATTCATACTTCCTTAATGTATTATTAATAATTGTGCTCTGTTCTTTGTTGCATATTAATCTATTTGGCTCAGATTTGTTATAATGATGGATATTTTCTTTTGATTGGCAATTGACAGTCTCATGTTTTATATTGTTTTTATTAAATGAATGCAAGTTATGTGCGATTGATGAAATAGTTAATTTGTCATCCTGGTTATTGTTTTGTTCTGTTTGGTAATCAACAGTTCCACATTTTTGTAATTCTTTA